CAAGTGAACCCCGGGAAGAGAATCTGTAGCCAAAGACACAGAGGGCATCTGTGTCTTCTCAGGGACCCGAGGCACAAAGGCAAGACAGCAGGGCTCCTCCCTGAATCCAGACAGAAGCCTCTCCCAAAGCCTCATGGCAAGGAAAGGTACCCACAAAGTCTGGTGTCGGGGACAGTCAAAGAAACCTGGCTGGGCCCGTCATTTTCGGAAGGTATTCCAGGCTTTACTGCTGAACAGGACGGCCTGTGTGCACACACACAGTTGCTCATCGTTTGAGACAAGGAGCCATTTTCACAGCGTAAGTCCTCGACTCCTGTCCTCCCAGTACGACAAACGTAACCCTGACTTGGGAGCGGAACCCAGGCCACATCCGCACACTCCTCGCTGCCTTCGCCCTTCCAGTTCTAGAGCCACGGAGCACCCGACCTGCTACGATGCGCTTCTGCAGGAAAGGGCTGTGATTGGAGAGCATCCCTGTTACCAACAACAGACGCTCCGTGAGCTGATTCGGGTGGGACTGTACACAGACACGGTGACTCGACCGTCGGTGAGACACACTGTGAGAAATCATGTTGAGCTCTCTCTTAACGTGGGCTCTCTGGAGACGGACGCTTCAAAAGATACATCCTTATCTCCGTCTTCAATAGGCTCACAATTGTCGGAAGAAGTCTGTGAGTTGGATGGAGGAAAAGGGAATGGAGGGGAGGAAAAGTGGATGAAAAGGAATGAAGATGGGGAACGTGCGTGTACTCCCCACAGGAAAGTGATCACCATGGACTGCAAACACGGGCTGATACAAGTGAAAGAAAGTACTCTATAAAGCTGTGAAGAATCTAACTAAGCCGTTCAGAGCCTATCTATCCCTTGCTCTCAATTTCCACTTAATTGAGGCTCTTGCAAAGGTAAAACTAAAAGATGCGCAGATTTCAAAACCATCTAGTTAGAAAAGGTCACTTATTACCACATCTATTTCCAATGCAGGTCAGGAAGGGTTCAAACAGTTCTGGAGATAAGATGGATAGAATTCTTCTGGAGAGTCAGTAAGATTCTGAGTGAATTCTTCACGATAATGGGATCCATCTTCACGATGCACTGCAAGCCAGCTGCCTTGTTCAATCAAACAGCAAAATGCTATTTAAATCTCAGTCATACTTTATCTTCATTAGAAGTAAATAATTACCTAAACTTCCAGTAACAAATCAAAACCAAGACACTGAACCTAACGTGACCATCAAATCTCCTCCAGGGACCATCAACAGCCAACACTAAAGGTCTCTGCTGGGTCTGGTGCCAAATGAAAGAGATCACTGCCCAGGCACTCGTGTGCTACCTTACACATCTGGAAGGCCCATCTCCTTGGCAGTGTGGGACTGGACACGTGGGAGAGAGAGCTCTCTCAACACTCCTTCTGCTCTCCCTCTGCACCTGCCACACCTTGCACTGTGGTGGTGTGGTTTGGTTTTTTGAGACAGCTTTGATTTTTCAGGCTGGCATTGAACTCACTGTGTAGCCCAGGCTGATCTCAAATTCATGGCAATCCTCCTGCCTCAGCCTCCAGATTGCTCAGACTACAGGTGTGTACCACCATGGCCAGCTCCATTGTGCTTTTACACACACTAGCTCTTTAAAGTGGGGCCCACATACAATCATCAGTTCATTTTAATATTCCTGGCACGGCACAGAATTAATACTCAAATACTGATTAAATTGTGTCTATTATCTGTCTTTAGGTAATAACTTAAACTTAGATGGGTCCTGAGGACCCAGTGCATTTTTCAAAGTGCTGTGTTCTTCATTTGTCAACACTGCTGGCTCAGTGTTTCTATAGCCTCCCACCATGAAGAGTATTTAATCCAGCACATGTGAGATTTGCGATCAGGGTCTGCGATGGTACGGGAAAGAAAATCATGCGATTACCCTGGGTTTCCCTGAAACCCTTGGATACGGTTAACTGAGGAAGATCTGCATTCCAGAATGGCTACATAACACACGCCCATAAAAGCATGAAAACTTATAGCAGAAGTCCTGGGAATGGAGAACCTGCTAGAGAAGAGCCCAGACAACCCACTGGCAAAAGAAAAACATGTGCCATCTGGCCTGGCATGGAGGACAGAAAAACTGCTATCCAGTGTGACGCTGTAGCTGCGGGTTACGAAGTATCCACTGACACAGTTGGTTGCTAACCTGTTAGTACCGTCTACTTCCCTTTGCATTTTGTGGTCTTTACCAGGAGAACCTAGCTTTCCATAAAAACTGACAGAATAATTCATACAGACAGTATTTCATGATGGTAAAAAGCACCCACCTATTTAACATTCCTTCCTTAAAACTGCAGAAAGTTAGAATAAAAGGCGGAACAAAGTACGCTGCTCACTGTGAATAATTAGCTACTTTCCTGTATTTCTAAGTAAAGAATGTTCAGGTTGAATTAACTTAGTATGAGGAAATATTTACTATCAAGCTTCAGTCGTACACAGATTCAGGGGTGTTCAGTGACTGGGTGTCCTTCTTTATTTCTATCTTTTTATTATCATCACTGGAAATGAGGCAGTAGTTATTCCGCCCAGTGCTTGAAAGTAAATAATGAAGAACAAAAGGACTCAGAAACTCTTTCTCATTTCACTCTGCCCAACTACTGTTCATAAAGTTATCTCAACCCCCTTAAGGGGTTTTTCAATCTTGTCTTTAAAAGTTGAGCACAAGAATTTCCAAGGTTATTAACGTTATTAATAGAACATGCCTTTGATGAAGGCTTTTAAGATGCTAAAGCAATTACAAAACCATGTATTTTTTAAAAATGAAATTCAAGTTTAGGCAAAGCCAGTGGTGAAACTTCCACGCGGAGGTACTGAGTAGAAAGAAAACAAAGAATTCATCTGCATTCTAGTTTCTAAGGGAAGGTGAGTCCTGATCCGGAACATGAACACACAGAACTCCGTGGTGAGGCACACTTTCCTGGAGAGCGATCAAAACAGCCGAGCCTGAAAGGGCAAACTGCACACACCTTCGCCAACCGCCCAAGGAGGGGGAGCCAGCACTGCCTCTGGCACTCTGGGTCTCGGTCATTGCTGGGGGAGCAAGGTGAGCTACGGAGAGAAGAGCCTTGCTGAAATGTACCTGTAAGGTGAATCGCTGGGAACTGATAAGGAGAAAGTTCCTCTGGACTTAGGAACGCTAAACAACCGGTGTTGCCAGGGGGATGAAGCTCAGAGCACAACCCCAAGGCTGTACAAATGGGCCACAGTGAAGCCATCCTTCTTGAACCTGAAGTCACTAAGCAGAGCAAATGAAGCAGGAAGATCTCTGTGAGTTTGACACCATCCTGGGATACACAATGATACCCTACCTCAAAAAAACCAACCAAACAAAAACAAAACGTGTGAGTGTGTGTGTGTGTGTGTGTGTGTGTGTGTGTGTGTGTGTGTGTAATACCAAAGCTCTAGTGAGTCTACTGATAGCTATTCTGTCTTCAAGCAGAAACTGTTTTCTTGAATTTCCACAGCACAATTTGTGGCATATTTCCTAAGCATCTTCCACAATGTGATTGACATTATAGGTACAAGTTTAAATTCCTGGGACTCTGCCCTTTGATCCTGTACTTCTGCCAGAAAAATAGATTTCTAACAAACAAGTTGAACCTAGTTTCATGTACCAGCTAAGAAATGAGCCTACAGCCTCAGGATGTCCATGTTTAAATCCTCGTCGTACTGCTAAGTAACTCTTCAGGTCTTGGGCAAGTTTCTAATCTATTTCCTCACCTGAGCATAGTGAAAGTAAGTGCAGGATTATTGTGAAAATTAAATGAGATGATGGATATAAAGAGCTTATCTCTGTGCCTGGTATTATAGGTAAGTGTTGAATAAATGCTCCCCAGTAATGGTACATCAGACAAGAAATCACCTAATCGATGACTTGTACAGAGGTAAAAATTCTCATAAAAAATTAAAGAAATTAAACTTGTGCTATATTGCCCAGAATCAATCTCAGAATTTCTCCCACATTTAAGTGTTCCACAATTAAATGAAACAAAGGATATCCAGGTTAAATTTCAGATAACAACAAATGCATCTTTTGTATACTGATGTCCCAAATATTGCACGGTAGGAGAAATCCGCCAGGACAGTTACTGGCAGGGTAAGAACTTCACTTCCTTGTTCCACGAAGAAGTCTCTATATTTTACCAGTCTCCTTTCTCTCTGAAGAACTGTCTTCCTTCTTTGCCATCTTTGGGAAGCCCTCCATAGCACACATTTATGCTTTATAACACCAACAGTAAGTAAAAGTAAGAGTTCTACACTCCTACATTTTCTACTGACTACCGCCTACCTTGCCTATCTGCCTAGGAACCCTGGTTTGAGGTAGCCCAGCTCGATGCCACCCAATTTCCAATAAATAAAGCATTTAGTGTGGCTTCAAAGTCTACCTATTGCTCTCCCTCCCACGCGTGCCCCACCTTCTGGCTTGCCTAGGCTACACTGAGTGAGGAGCAACAATCTTGGGCCACACAGAAAATATACAGTATGCTTATGGATATCAGTGACAAAACTTCTTCCTTTTAAACACTTTTTCCTGTAACATTACAAACAAGCAGGGCAAGCAGCCCGCAGGTTGGACACACCTGCCTGAACTCATATAACACAGAACATAGCACCAGGAAGTACCAGCTTGGACTGGCTTTGAGTAGAAACAATCACTTTTAAAGGCAGTGGCAAATTTTAATGTATCAGCAGGAAATTTCTTTGGATTGGATGAGAACAAGAGGTTTAAACATGCCACACAGGGGTTTCCAAGCAGGACTGGGATCTCTGAAGATGGATCTGCCTATCTGTAAATAAGCAAGTTCCTCCAGGGACCAGAGCATTTTTGGCATGTATTAGGTCTATTTATGAAACTCTAGCATGTCAGATACTCAGCATAAGGAGATCGTTAGCATCAGCACTCCAGTTCTGCTGTAGGTTCAAACAGTCAGCCCCTCGAGCTCGCCGACAGTGCCTTCTTACCCCTCAGCACCGACTTGAGGTTGAGCTTGGCCTGGCGGTGCAGGTCTTCCACACACGGGGGTCTCGTGCTGGGCAGGAACACGTTCTCCTGCTGGTGCCATGGGGCTGTGTAGTGGACTGTCCATCGGCTCTCCTCGTCTAGGTTGGAGACCGCTAGAGAAAGAACAAATTCAGATGTCAAATGAAGCTTCGCCAGCTCCAAACCCGCTATGCAAAGACAAGGTCTTAGTGTCTAACGCATCCACAGTCGGGGACCAGCAAGGAGAAATGGTGCAAGATCTGAGTGAGACAGGACCTTAGATCAGGAGTCTTGCCAATATGTTCCATCTGTACAGAGAAAGCTGAAACTGTCTCTCCTCCATGCACTGTTTTCATAGAACTGTTTCTGCAGTTGGCTGCTTCCCAGATCTTAGACCTCTAGCACTCCCACATTAGGCTAACAAGTGACAAAATTGAGAGACTTCCAACTCCTACATAACTCCACCACCATAACAAATACCAGTTATTCAATGGTAGAAAGCCATTGTATCATTCAACATGAGATTTGTCTTGCCAGAAACAAACTTCCTACTAGGAAGCTGAGACCAAATCCTTCCCCTCTGTAGCATTATTTTATTTTAATTAATTAACTAATTTTTTTTTAGGATTCCCTATTTTTAATGTTCATACAGAGATTTCTTTAACTGAAATACCGAATAGTTTCTTTGGTGTGAAAAACTATAATAGTACACAGGATCCTAATGAGATAATTAATAATGTGAAATAGGAAGTAAAGGGCTAAAGGTGTAGGGAAAGTGGGAAGGGTGGGGGAAAGGTAATAAGGGAGAGGAAAAAAATATGAGAAACTGAAAAAATGGAAATAAAGTGTTTGTAAATGGGGAGGGGAGGAGGGGGTGAAGGGAGGGCAGGAACAAGGGGAAAAAATGAGAACCAAGACCTGTCACATAAAGGTACAAGATTCCAATGATGAATGTAACTGTACTGTGTACCTAGATTGTACCAATAAACTCAATAAAAAGAAAAAAAATTAATTAATTTTTGAGACAGGCTCTGGCTTTGTAGTACTGGCTGGCCTTGAACTCGAGGTGATCCTCCTGCCTCAGCCTCTCAAGTGCTGGGATTACAGGTGTGCACAAACACACCCTGTTATAGCATTACTTTAAAACATCAGTATCAGAAGCTCAAATAAATCTTTTAAAAATTCGTCTAAACATTCAACTTAATACATGGAATGGTGTAATAGACATGGATATCCATATTGTGATAAAAAGTTCTCTAGGTGACTGGGTAAGGAGACCATGGAATCTACCTGGCTTCCCCCAGCTGCAATCCTGGGCCCTGGCTAGTTTTCCTCATGGTGATTATGATAATAGGTGTCCTAAAGCAAGAGCTCCTTTCCAAAAACAAAACAAAACAAAACAAAATTCTCTAATTTCTTGCATTCAAAGAGCACTTCTATAATAAAATGTTTTAAAGACATTAGAGTGCAATTGATTTTTTTCAACACAATCCAGCTCAATTATTTTTCCCAACATATATCCAAAACATTACAGGTGAAAATTACAGACAACCCTGGGATTAAGATAAATCTTGAAAATAATTTCCTTTCATTCCCCCTAGTGCTTGAGACCTCTTTACTTCATTTTTTCTGACAGCACTACCTAAGCTAGTGCACACACAAACTCCTAAATAAAGCCAAAAACACCCAAACAAATTCACCAGCAATTTCTAAATACCTTCTACAGATCTGCCACATAACCCAGGCATCAGAGAAAGGTAAGAGAGAGACCCAGCCCCATGCTGAGGTATTTCCTTGAGGTGTCAAGGTCAACGCCTATAAAATCAGCAGACACTGGAACTGTGTGAGTCAGAGTCAAGTCCTGACTCTGACCTGTGGCGGACAGTTTCCCAAGAATGCTCTTTGCTACAACATAACGTGGCCCTAGAAACAAGCTCATAAACAAATTTTCAATGGGCCGCGAAAAGGCATACACAGACTATTGTATCTATTTGGACATATTTCAAATTAACTAAACACACCCTATAGCACAGTTACGTTACTGTTAACAATTATCAAATGAACCAGCTTGTCATGGTGGTGCATGCCTGTAATCCCAGCTATTTGGAGGCTGAGGCAGGAGGATTCCAAGTTTAAGGTCAGCCTGGGCAACTTAGTGAGACTCTGTATCAGAGAAAAATAATAATAAAAGGGCTGGAGATATAGCTTTCTGTGTTCAATCTGCCCCCCACCCCACCCCAGTCAAATGAACTCATACGTAAAGATCTTAGCTCGTGAAGTAACTCATGTAGTACATGGTTATGGAAGGGACCATGGGCATTATCCTGAAGGAACCCCTAACTTCAAAACCATCACTAAGAAGGAAGTATGTTTTTCTCAACCTCTCTGTAACCCTAAGCCATAATTTAGCTCTCACCTCAAAAACTATCTTTCCTATAGTTACTAAATTTTAAAATCCTACGCATCTTTTCCAAAGAATCCTACCTCTTCCGTAAATTGCTAAATAGGACAACAGACTTTGAAAACTAGACATCAAGTTAAAAGCCAAAATGCCCTATCTGCTTCCTGCTTAGGACGTTTGACAAAAGCAGCATATAAATTAGGCACCTAATGTTTTGTGGACTCTCTTGCAGAATAAATGTTTTGCCTGGTGCATACAAGCTATCCATCTCTATGCATAAGATCCACAGACACCTGACTTCGCCCTCACAAATGTTTCAGAGTCTAGCACGGTGCCAAACTGTCCCCCAAAGAGTTCCCAGAGGTCATTTCTATGTTCATTATAAGGCGCTGATGTCCACTTGTCTTAAAGATTTAATACCATACTTCATAGATGGAAAATCGAAACTTTCCCATTCTGCCAATTACCATTAAATCCAGGCAATGGCATCTGAATCCGTGTAATCACACCATCAGCCCCAGCGCGTAACTACCAACTGGGTCCTCTGGAAGAGCAGTTGTCTCTTCCCTGGTGTGACTGGCTCTTGCCAGGGGAGATTTTATCAGTGCCTCTAGAGCCAAACAGTGGGGGCAGGGGGCTTCTTTGTTGCTTTCCCCAAAGCTGCTCCTGCCAACGTGCCCACCCATCCGTGCACCTGGCTCCAGTTTCAGTCATCGATCCAAAAACTAAACTGAAATAAGCCAATAACCACGTAAAAACAAAGCCCTGTCTGTAAAACGTTAGATTCTCAAGGAATGAAGAAGCACCCGGATTAACAATTGAAACCCACTGTAAACTCACAATGAAGTCAAGCACAAACGCTCTGTGCTTCACAACAATCACTAATCTGTGCAGACAGTCTGACCTTGAGCTCTTCGACCTGTAACAGAGAGCGCTGGGGACTTTCGCAGTCAGGTCCACCAAGTGTGTGACACATTACACAAAGGCTGCTGGACAGGCGAAAGGATCCAAAACAATGCCCCGTGTATCAAGGGAAACGAGGTAAACACAAAGATTTCCCCTTTCTTTAAAGACTTCTTTGGAGAAGTACAAAAGAAATAAAGTCACTTACAATCCCAACCATAAATAAATAAGACAAGCTAAGATCACATAACCCCTTCCTACAGACACAAAAGTCTGAGGCATTTGAACAGCCTGCCTAGAGCGGAGTTTAACTCAAGCCTATTACGCTGTTTTACACTCTAATTCCTTTGCTCAGAAACACGGAGGAGCACATAAAACACACCCAAGCACGCGTGCGCAGGCACACACATACACAGACAATAGGCACAGGGAGAAGGGGCGCTACTTACTTTTCTTCTTAAAAAGTTTAATGAAAGACTTAATCTTTGCATTTATGAACACCACCATTTCTGGAGCGCCCACATAGGGTTTGGAAATTGAAATCACACTAAAATCTCAGTCCGGCAGGCAGGTAGCAAGCTGCGCTCTTCAGTCTGAGTCTAACTTTCTTCCTCTTGTCTCCTGTCCTTCCCAGTCCGTCCGGGACTGCAACTCCGAGGTTGAGTTTATTGTCAGGCAGTTACAACCCATTAGCAGTCCTTGAATCTGGAAAACTCCCATGAAACCTAATCTGAAGGCTGGGAGCAGCCAGTAAGAACAGGCTCAGAAAGAGAAGGCCAGTTGCGGTCTTATTTGCATGACAGCCACATCAGCCTTTGTGCCTCCGCGCTCATTCATTCCACTTTCTCCGCACACACCAGGAGTTCCTCCTCTCTGGAGTCCGCAAAAACACAGTGGACTTTCCTCTGCGCGAATCAAGGTGAAACAAACGTGCTCCCGTTTTCGCTAGGCCGCTGTGAACATCCAGGTGGTTTTACAGGAGCCGGCAAGTCTGAGAGCAGTGCCACACTGATCCTTTGATTCTCCTGCTAATTCTGGGTACGGGATCTGAGCTAACACAGGGGGAAAAAGAACCGAACTATTGTTTGCTGGCCACGCCCCCACGCCCTGCCTCCCATACCCGAGAAACGTTCATAAGCTGCAGAACTTTAGAACAGAATCTCTAAGGCTCTGTGAGGGATGACTGGGGTGCATTTTTATGCTCGCGACGATGCCCAGACTTCTCACCTTCTCTGCCAGCGACTGCCAAGCAGTACTGTGTGTTCCCAAGTGTGACCTTACGCCTACCCAGCTGCCACAACTCTTGAAAAACCTGAGCACAACTTCTCCGCTCCAAATGAGAAACTAGATAAAGGACCCTAATCATTTTCAGCACCATTGCGAATGTAATTCTCACCCGAGTGCCTATTTTAACAATTTCTACCTGCTCCCCCAGGTAGAAGTCTCAAACAAACACTATTCAGGCTACTCTGGAATGCCAATGTACTGTAGTGAGTTGTCCCTTTTGCTTATTTGAAGCCAATCTCTGACAAGTGGGGAGATGAACACAAAGGGAGGAATCAGACCTGGGGTATAAGGGAACACTGGAAAAATATATCCCAGGAGAGATACAAAAGAGAAGAATGCAACTCAGGAAGTGTGAAAAGGGGCAGAACTTTCCTCACATCTTGCCCCAGCTCCACTTCATGGCAAAACAGTTTTTTAAGACAACTTAGACGACCTCTTATTTCATAGCTTTGGGCCAGACTTGTAACTAAATGGAAAAATGTAATAACCCACTAATTCAAAACATTTAGTTTATAACAAAGGCTCTTAGTCAAAGAAAAAAAA